GCCAGTATTGAGGAGATCTTTCAAATTTTTTTCGTCCTTGGTAAAACGTTTTAAGTCATCCATGGAGAATAAGTTATTAAATACGTCTATCTATTTTGTATCCATAGTTATTACTGTTAATTCATACGAAATATGGATTAAAGAGAGACAGAACAGAATGGACAACAGGTCGTCTTCTTAAAAAATTCTTCGTTTGATATTCAAGCGATTGGGAGCGGCAGTACCCTTGGTGGGATATAGGTATTTTTTTTTTTTACCGTCCCAGGCTATATTTAAGGAAATTTGCAATCACCGAGGAAACTTTGTACATTTGCAAAGCCTTAAGGATCCAAAAGTTTGACGCATTACCAAAGGCGTTAATATAATCTATCCAAGCTATACTGAGATTTCGACAATTTTTACTGCAATTTTACAAGATGATTTTATTTATCAATAGTTGATCTTTTCAACCAGATACACCTTTTCAGTTCCAAGGGAGGAACGTTGTTGTCACCGAGAAATGATTAAGTACAGCCAGTCAATTCAGACGGAATTAATTGATATGAAGCGAATGGCCATTTTATTAGCCTGCGGCTTGGATTGAGGAATCGGAGAGCAGAGTTCGAATTCCAGTTGAATCCATTATGTGCTAATACCTTTGGGAAAAGTAATAATCCTCTTCTTCTTCTTCCACCAGCTATGGGTAAATAGCAGGACAGACTATAGCCTTGTATGTCAACTGGTCTACCGCAGAAAAAATGGCAACCTACTGCGGGAAGAATATCTGCCACGTCGGTCATGTATCGAAAGATACATGATCGCCTAAGCGTGTATCACGCATGTCACATAACTGACCGATTAATTTTTGGATCCTCTGTTTCACCCGCTTCTGGTAGGAGACAGTACCTTTAGTGATGTATTCTGGAATGTTATTGGTATTATTAATTAGCATTGATAAAGTTTGGTCAAGGGATTTAGATTAGGAGGGAATGAAGACGAATAGCTTTTCGAATTGAGGAATCAGAGAGCCGAGTTCGAATTCCAGTTGAGTTCATTACAATCACTTACGTGCTAACATAATTGGGAAAACATGAACCCATTTCTTTACTCCCCAGCTATGGGTAAAATAGCAGAACATACTGTGTCTTATAGCCTTGATTCATAGACTCTGAATTCAAAGCAACCTGGAGAGTGTTGCGTCCTGTCAGGCTATCTTGTCTAGGAAACACCCTTGCTCCTACGGCCGCAGTACGTGTGGTCGCTTCCGATCCTAAGGATTCCAGGACTTTTGATCGTGACAGTCGATAGAACAAACTTCTCATTTCCTGGAGATTTCAATTTTGGGGATTTTGTTAGAGCTTTCATTATTTTTTTTAGGTTTATAATTTATCTATTTTCTTTTAAGAGTTTCTTTTTTTGCCAGATTGTCTTTCTAATTTTTTTTTTTTATTCTCACTAAGAGAACGAACGAAATGAATGAAAAAAAAGTTACGTTCCGCCGCAGGCTTAACAACTCATATCACCAAAACAATGAATGGCATGTAATACATAAAAAAAAAAACAGATTACGACATTAGAGTGCTACTAAGACAATAGATTTCTTTATCTTTGTTACCACGCATTCCTTATTTACTTTCTGTTCGCAAATAAAGTAACAAATTTTATAGAGAAAAGAAAAACAAAACAAATCGGTGTCGTTTTCTTCTTTTAACTAACGCCGTACTTTTAGACGTCATTTATTTTTCATTCTAATTATTAGAATTATCTTTTTCTGTAGCTCATCTGCGTTTTCTTCGTCAGCATCTACTTCTAATTCCATACATCTGATTTCGAAATGATGTACCCTCTGGAGTACAGCACACTGGCATCTCCAGATAAGAAAAATACAGTGATACAATATAGTTGGATTTGTGCAATAAAATTGAAAAAAAAAATACTTCGATAAGATGACCACAGCCACATCATCAGTGATGTTGCCATAAGATCATTAGGAGTTTGATATATATATATATCCAACATCGGATTTCTTTACTCGGGTGACGGAACTAATTTCAACTCGGAACCTCAAAAGGGTCATTTGTAGTTCAAGCGCCGCTCTCAGTTTCTAATAAAAAATTTCTCGAATAATTCCACTTAGGTGTAAATATAGATGCTTAATTCGAAAATAACAAACGAATTTTGATAAAACCTACCATTTTGGAGTTATCGACAATAAAATTTGGAACTCATTCGCGTCGCGGCGGGTGAAGTTGAAATGTTTCTGCAGCCCCAAATAAGGGATGACAAAGAACTGAATTATTACCACAGTTCAGCAGGTGACGAGGAAAGAAATAACTGTCCAGTACTAAATAAGAAATAAACGAGATATACCTCGATATGGATGACAGAACTAATTTCAACTTGGAACCTCGAAAGGCCATTTGCATTTCAAGCCCTACCCTTAGTTTCTAATAAAAAATGTCCCTAATAATTCCACTTAGTTGTAAATGTACATGCTTAATTCGAAAATAACAAAGAGATTTTGATAAAACCCACCATTTTGGAGTTATCGACAATAAAATTTCGGACTGATTTGCGTCGCGGTGGGTGAAGTTGAAATGTATTCTGCAGCCTCAAATAAAGGATGACAAAGAACTGAATTATTACCACAGTTCAGCAGGTGACGAGGAAAGAAAAAAACTGCTCAGTACTAAATAACAAGTAAACGAGATATACTTCGATATGGGTGACAGAACTAATTTCAACTCGGAACTTCAAAACGGTCATTTGCAGTTCAAGCCCCACCCTAAGTTTCTAATAAAAAAAATCCCGAATAGTTCCATTTAGGTGTGAATGTACATGATTAATTTGAAAATAACAAAGACATTTTGATAAAACCTACTGTTTTGGAGTTACCGACGATAAAACTATGGACTCATTCGTGTCGCGGTGGGTAAAGCTGAAATTAATTCTGTACCCACTTCAATCAGGTGAACTTGTTGGTGGGAATCAAATGCCAACATGTAACCGCGCAAAGAGCAGTGAGAAAATATAATTCACAAAATGCAAATGCCTTTAAAAGAAAACATTACAAGAAGAATTTCTTTATGTTATTTTCACATTATTATCATATTGAATAGTTTCTTTATTATTATTATGTTTTATAAATTTAAGTTCCTTAATTTTGGTAATCGTACGAGAACCAGTGCTACAATGTGCTGAAGAGACTTGAACAATAGAAATATTGTTTATATTTCTGAGAGGATGTATATTAACTATGCACACTCTTTGCAAAGTTCAAGTTGTTGTCCTCATCTTTATTGTCATATCCACAACCTTTCGGCCGTTCTTCGCTCCAGCCTTCTTTAGGATTTGTCTATATTTCTAACATGAGATAATTTAACAATTTACACGATTTTCATTGTTCAAACTGTGTTCCTCATCTTTATTGTCGTATTCACAACGTTTCGGCCGTTCTACGCTCTAGCCTTCCTCAGGATTTGTCTGTATTTCTGAGATGAGGTATTGTAACTATTTACACTCTTCGGACTGTTGACTTCACTCATGTTGCTATATCCACAACGTTTCGACCGTTGTATGCTCCGGCCTTCTTCAGGATTTGTCTATATTTCTGAGATGAGGCATTGTCACTATTTACGCTATTCGAACCGTTGTCCTCATCTTTATAGCCATATTCACGACATTTCGATCGTTGTACACTCCGGCAATCTTCAGGATCTGTCTATATTTCTGAGATGAGGCATTTAGGATTATTTCAACAAAAGCTTTTATTCAACCAACACATTTATTAAGTAATATGTCTTGGGGACATCCCTGAGTGAGTTTTTGTGACTTATAAACTTAATGTCTCAATCATTTTTTTTTTATCAAAGCTCATATTACAATTTCTGTTACTGTTGTTTTTTTTTCTCTAGCGATTATTGGATCCCATATTGTATTCATGTCTAAAACGAGGTTATTGTGGTCTAGCATATCCTCAATAAAGATCCATAAAATGCCACTTACCATGTAACACTCTATATAGAGTGGCACCGGGCCTTGTACAGAGTGAACCTCGTTATAAAAAAAAGTCAAACATTAGTAGATAAGATCAAAATACTTCATAGCATTCTATGCAAGGAAAGACACAAAACTCTAGAAGCCATTATTATACAAAATAAACAGCCCATATTAAATAAAATATCCTTCACTAAAGAAGAGTGTACCTTCAATTGCACATGATATAATTAATGTACGCACATATAATAATATTAAAAATATAATTAGAGAATTAAATAAAAACATAACAAAATAAATAAAATCACATCCTTTCGTGCAGCCTCGTTTCCAATGCCCGTTAGAGATGACGTCATGCTAGGCCATTTTAAAATTACAGTTTCTCAAATAATATCAGGATGTAGACATAGGAATTCTACCCACTTCATTGGTTCTTAATAGTAACAGCGATAGTCGAACGTTTTTTAACAAATATAACAAAATATGAACATCGCACAGTTTATCTAAAACTTTGAGCATAATACTCAACACCTTATCCGAAAATTGGAAAAAAAAATAAAAAAATTAATCAGAGTTTGTCTTTTCTTTTCGGTGAAACATGTTTGGATATCTCTCTCTCTCTCTCTCTCTCTCTCTCTATATATATATATATATATATATATATATATATATATATATATATATTATTTATTGTTTTATCCAAAGAGTGATTTGTGTTCTTTTTATCTGCAGAATCTTGTCATCATGTTCTTACACGCGACGTGGCTTCAGAGCAAATATATTACCGAGGAAGAATTTCCACTGCTTTCAGGCGATTCAAATGTCGGCCATTTTTTTTTCATTTTGTATTTCTTCTTTCATTTCCTGCCCGTTAGCGTTGGGCTGAAAAAGAAGCGCGAAAACAGTGACGATCATCGAAAAGTAACAAACTCGATGAATGGCGCGGGAAAGAGTTTTCATGCTTTTCTTTCTTAGGTCTTTTAAAATTTATTATTTTCTTACCAACGATTGCGTCGTTGACATGTTCACATCCTTCCGTTACAAACTGGAGGAGAAACGAAAGAGAGAAAAATAAAGAATGATGACAGACAGACGAGAAACTGAAACAAGGGATGAGGAGGGAAAGCATCAAGAAAGAATAACGAAGAAAGAAAGAAATGAGGATTTGAATGAAAAGAAATATAATGGAAAAATTTGATGGACATAAAGATGAAAGGAAGACAAAAAAAGGTTGGGAATAAAAAAGAAAATAAGGTGAGAAGAAAGGCAAGTTTGTTTATAAGAAGGAAAAAAGACAGAAAGCTTCAGATATGTTAGATATCGTTAAAAAGAAAGAAAGTTCAAAATGTGTTCCATATCGTTAAAAAGAAAGAAAGAAAGATTAAGATGTGTTCCATATAGTTAAAAAGAAAGAAAGGAAGCTTAAGACGTGTTACATATCGTTAAAAAGAAAGAAAGCTTAAAAAGTGTTCCATGTCGTTAAAAAGAAAGAAAGCTTACGATGTGTTAGATATCGTTAAAAAGAAAGAAAGCATAAACTGCCTTCCATATCATTAAAAAGGAAGAAAGAAAGCTTAAAATGTGTTACATATCGTTAAAAAGAAAGAAGGCTCAAAATTTGTTCCATATCGTCAAAAAGAAAGAAAGAAAGAAAGCTTATGGTGTGTTATATATTGTTAAAAGAAAGAAAGCTTAAAATGTGTTACATATCGTTAAAAAGAAGATGTGTAATACATCGTTAAAAAGAAAGAAAGCTTAAGATGTGTTACATATCGTTAAAAAGAAAGAAAGCATAAACTGTCTTCCATATAATTAAAAAGAAAGAAAGCTTATATGTGTTACATATCGTTAAAAAGAAAGAAAGCTTAAAATGTGTTCCATGTCGTTAAAAAGAAAGAAAGAATTCTTAAGATGTGTTACATATCTTTACAAAATAAAAGCTTAAAATGTGTTACATATCGTTAAAAAACAAAGCTAAAGATGAGGTTACATATCGTTAAACAGAAAGAAAGAGCGCTGAAGATTTGTTACATATCGTTAAAAAAGAAAGAAACTTAAGATGTATTACATATCGTGAAAAAGAAAGAAAGCTTAAATAGGTCACATATCCTTAAAAATAAAGAAAAAGAAACTTAAACTTTGGAATGTATCTTCAAAAAAGAAAGTAGGAAAGCTTAAGATATGTTACATATCACTAAAAAGAACGAAAGCTTAAGATATGTTACATATCACTAAAAAGAAAGAAAACTTAAGATGTGTTACATATCGTTAAAAAGAAAGAAAGAGCTACAAAGGGTGACAGGACGATGTGCAGCTAGAAAGATAGAATGCAAGAAAGAAAGGATGATTGTGTGACGAGCAATTATAAATAAAGAAAAAAAAAAGGAGAGGAAAAGAAAGAAACATTTAACATCTAGAATTAAATAAAGCAAAGAAGACAAACGAAAGACAAGAAAGAAACAAGGGATAATTACCTGGAAGAAGGAATGTAGAAAGAAAAGTGGGGATGGAGAAGTAAGGATGGCTGCAAGATGAGAAAAAAGGATTGAACAAACTCAGATATATATATATATATATATATATATATATATATATATATATATATATATATATATAAATGTGTGTGTGTGTGCGTATATTTAGGCACAATACTTATTTCATGCACTTTTCATTGAATATGACAGAAAGAAGATTTGATTTAGGTTTTATTTTTGTATAAAATTTCTCACGTGATCTTATTTTTCTTTTCTTTTGAGATGATAAATTATATAAAACTGTCCAATTATGAACATGGACACAATATCTTGACCGGGTTTCGAAAATGAAAACATTGTGCATAATAAAACATAAATGCATATATACAGCAATCAATTTTTTGTTAACAACTAATATACTAAAAGCTTTAAAATGGCTAAATGCATAGCTGAAAGCGATCGGAAAGAACAGTGAGACAGTTTTTATATAATATATCATGTGAAAGTAGAAATATAAGATCACATGAGAAATCGTATGGAAAAAAAGAAATCAAAACAACTTGTCTGTCATAATCAATGAAACGTGCATATATATATATATATATATATATATATATATATATATATATATATATATATATATATATATATGTCATGAAGGGAACAATCATGTTCGTTGTTTGGTTGATTTTGTTTAGCGGCATGTCAACACCTGAGAGTTATTTAATGCCGAAATCTAAATATATTGATTGGTTCGGTTGTTTTTGTTTAGTGGCCTATCAAACTTTATTAGTTATTTAATGTTGAATTCTAAATATTTTTATTGGTTTGGTTTGGTTGATTTTGTTTAGCGGCATATCAACCTCTATGGGTTATTTAATGCCGAAATCGAAATATTTTGATCGGTTTGGTTCGATGTTTTTTGCTTAGCGGCATATGAACCTCTATGGGTAATTTAATGCCGAAATTTAAATATTTTGTTTCGTTTGGACGATTTTGTTTAGCGGCATATCAACCTCTATAGGTTATTTAATGCCGAAATCGAAATATTTTGACTGGATTGGTTTGGTTGTTTTTGTTTAGCGGCATATCATCCTCCATGGAGTATTTAATGCCGAAATCTAAATATTTTGAATGACTTTGTTTAGAGGCATATCAATCTCTATGGGTTATTTATGGCCGAAATCTAAATATTTTCATTTGATTGGTTTGGTTGTTTTGAGGACAGAATGATAGGACGAAATGGGAAAAATCGTAACCTGGAGGAGAAGCATACACAATATTATGGAAGAAAAAAGGGGGACATGGATAGAAACGAATGGTGGACGAATAAAACTAGACGATGAATAAAACGAACGAGAAACCAACGAGTAGCAGAAGAAAAATCAAAGAAATGAAAATAGTGTGAATAATACTTGTAAAATCTATATGAAGAAATACCCGAAAGAATAAGTGAATAACATTTCGAAAGAAATAAGAGCATCAAAAACTTGAATTTATCGCTATGGGTAATCCATGTCTGGTACAAGGTTAACGCTAACTCACCTGTAATCTCCATCTATAAAAGGCAGGATATGTGTGTGTGTGTGTGTGTGTGTGTGTGTGTGTGTGTGTGTGTGTGTGTAACGAATGCACGGCCGCAATTTTCGACGAATTTGCACCAAAATTTACATGCACATGCTCCAAGGTAAAGGGAAGGCCAAGACCGACTTTGCATTTCACAACTGCCATCGATAGTGGAAATAATCGATTTTTTTCATGCTTCTATGTAGTTTGCGGCCATTTTGTACTGGTCAGAGTGAGAGCCTATAGCTGGCTGCCACAAATAGGCAGGAAGATTCTATTGGCCAGCGTCAGAGCCAACAGCTGACTGACACGAATGTTAACTAGCATGATAGCATGCAAACAAAATCGATAACTGCATTCGTCACAAGTGGGAAAAAATTAAATCTGCATGGCACTTTAAACCAATTGGCTCATTCGCTTGCTTAAACTCAACGTTGATTCTGATTCCGCAGAAGTGGGTTGGGTGTGAAAAAGTATTTATTGTTAACATTCTTTTTTCATTCGGTTTTTCCAGTTACGATTCGTTTTTTAATGCTGATCGTTTTGTGTTCATTTTGTTTAGTTCTTTTTTCGTAACAGATTTAATGTTTAGTATAGAGCTTAGAAAAAATTCGCATTGTGAGATAGGCAATAAGTAAGGCATGTAGCAATATCAGCACGGCAAAGTGCACTCCTTTAAAGGCAAGGTAGGGCAAAAATATTTGATGCCAAGTGATAGCGATTGCTGTATGAGTCGTACGATTTTTGAATCAAGCACGGGCAACGCCGGGCCATGCTGCTAGTAGCCTATAAACCTGACCAACTATCTCTAAACATTCCATAGAGGTTATTAGGGAGAATAGACGTGTAGATAAAGTCCATTTACTGAAACATTTTTTCTCTTTTTAATCAATTTAGAATAGAAGGTAACTTCAAAAACAAATCCACCTTTGAGAGGAGAGACAGAGTAAAATCATCATCCCCAGTGCAAAAGAAAGCGCCAAGCTATTCTGCATTGAATGTCCCCCGTGAACCAAAATTGTGAGATGGAGGGTAATGGTGACAACAGCACCGGTGCAAAAGGTACTAACTGAATAAAATGAATCAATTCACTCCAAGCAAGGCTATTTAGCCACTAAGATTCAAGGGACTACTGGTAGTGAAAGCGAATGAAAAATCATTTACAAGCAACTGGAAATCCATTTCTAAACAGGAGACAAGTGATACACTTCAACTCCTGTTGAAAAAAAACGGGCAGATATTTGAACCGTATTGATAGGCGAACCTGTCTATCCTTTTAACGGAAATTAATAAATAGTGTAATATAAAAACGATCTTTCACATAGATCTTTCTGTAGATTACCGCTATACAATTCATAAAGAGCTCTGCCAAATAACACATGGACACGTTCAATAGCAGGAACAAGGATTTGGTTATCACGTGTAGCTAAAATTGAAAGGGAAAGTGAGAAGGCTAATTTCCCGAATAATTTAAGAAAATTGTCCATATATTTCAACCGACGGTAGCACTAACTCTTTAATCTATTATTTCCTGTAGGGAAACGGTTGTTTTTACCATTATCCTTATCGTCTTAAAATAATCATTCCGGTTTTTATTCAGGAAGATCTCAATCTCTTGAAGCGTCACAGAGAATTTTTTTTTTCTTCTGATTTTAATGTGATTTTCATCCTGTATAAGGTTTGAGGGTTTCTCGAGGTAGTACTACAGCGTAAGTAGCACATCCTATGCTGATATGTGTGGAAGATAACGGTTAACCCTAGACTTGAACAGGTTATGATTGTAGCGATCGGGGAAGAATGACTTTTGGCAAACAGTTCTACGTGGGAAGAAACTGATTGGGTGCAACGTATATTACACCAAGGGGTTGGGTGCGAAGGGAATGAAGATGGTTCGACGGGGAAGAATCTCTCTTGGGAGTATGTTCCACGTGATAAGAAGCTGATTAAATGGAACTTACATTACTTCAAGAGGATGCGATGGGAATGAAAATGGTTCGGTACAATGTGCATGGCATTATGGGACTTAGCTGAGTAGGTTAAGACTAGTAAATTTAAAGAATTACTTCTTCTGAACATTCTCCATGGAAATAGCCATAGGTCATCAAAATTCTTGCAATGTCTCGTCTGTGAAAAAGAAGCTGCAGAGTGGAAAATAATTCGTTGCCTATAAGAATACGGGAGACACTTTTGGACTCTATTGATCTGGCTCTTGTGATAGTAGTGCATAGCAGGAGGGGTGAACTACGTAACCGGCTTTCTTCCACTAACTAAAACAGTAAAGAAAAACTTGTGGAGCTGTCTAAGAATGTCTCGTTGCATTTCTATGATCTTGCTGCATTTGACAAGAATTGTCCCCCAGAAAAATATCCGGTTTCATTATTGGTAACTGTCTATATTTCTGAGATGAGTTATTGTCC